TTGATCCAATCTGCCAGTCTACTTCTCTTGGTTAGTGAATTGAGTCCATTTACATTGACAGTTATAAGTGATATGTATTGGCTTATCTTTGTCATGTTGTTTTCCTGCTGTTGGTTCCTCTTGTTTCCCTCTGATTAACTGCTTGCTCTGCTTGGTGTTTCCTTTCTGTTGTTGTTCTTAAAGTTATGGTCTTTTTTGTCTCTTTCTAGAATATCTTTTAGAACTCTTTGTAGGGTTGATTTGGCACTCATGAAGTTCTTCAGTTGATTTTTATGGTGGAAATAGTTTATTTCTCCATTCATTTTGAAGGATAGTTTTTCAGGGTACATCAATCTGGGTTGGAAGTTGTTTTCTTTCAGGACCTGAAATATTTCAGCTCTTCTTGACTTGATGGTTTGTGTTGAGAAATCTGCCATGATCCTGATGGGCTTACCTATATTGGTGATCTGTTTCTTTTCTCTAACAGTTTTTAATATTCTGTTCTTTTGTTGAATTTCTGGGATCTTGAGCACTATATTAATGGCTGTAGATTTATTTTGGTTATGGTTAATTGGAGTTCTATATGCTTCACTTACCCAGATGTCAGTTCTTTTTCCATGCTTGGGAAATTTTCTGCTATTACTTCCACAAATAGTCTTTTTATGTTATTTGTGCTGACACCTTCTGTTTCACTGATACCTATTAATCTTACATTGTTTTTGTTTTTGTTTTTTGCTTTGTCTTGCAGCTGTTGAATTGTTATTTCTTGGTTTCTTGTTATTTTTAGAGATCCTTCCTTTCACAATCATTCACAGCAATGCTGTCTTCAAGGTCTGAAAGTCTATCTTCAGCTACATTCAAGTGGTTTTGCCTGCTTTCAATGGAAGTTTTAATTTCATGGATATCTGTTTGAATCTGTTTTATGCATTCCAGTTCTTTCCTATACTGTTCATTCAAGGTTTTGATTAATTTAGTATGCTCCTCTATTTTTTTCTATGTCTTCTTTAGATGTGCTAAGCAATTCTTTCATTATTATTGTCATTTCTTTTTTATCTCAGAGATTATTTCTGATCTGATGTCTTCTATGGGCTGATGAAGTTGTTTCTTTACTGCAGCTGCTGTCATTTCAGAAATTTCAGGTGTATGACTTCCAAGCTTGTCTGTGTCAATATCTCCTGGACTTGTTCTAGATGGGGTAGAAGTCTGAGATTGCATTTTGCTCCTTCATTTTGTCATTTTCAGAGATGCAGAGTTCCCTGGAGCTCAGCCTCACTCCCAGGATGATGTCATAGTAGTGGGCCAAGGACCCAAAGGTCCCTGGTGCTTGGTGTGACTCCCTAGATGGTATGTGTGTGGGGTGGGGTGTAATCCCCAATGCTCCCACAGCTGTCTGTGGCTCAGCTTGGCTCCCACTCAGGGGTTCCCAAAGCTGTCCAGGTTTCAGCCCTGTTTCCACTGGGGTGTAGTAGTGGGTGGGTCATGATCACCACGTCTCCATAACTGCCACTACCCCGCCCAGTTCCCACACCAAGGGTAAGTGCAAAGTCCCTGAGGGCCCTAAAGTTGTTTGAGTTTCAGCTTAGCTCCCCTGTGGGTGAGGGGTGGGGGTAGGGAGGAGCACCCAAGGCCCTTGAGCTTGTCTAGGGCTCTCCTTGGCTCCTGAGCTGATGGGGCAGAGGTGAGGCCAGCTCACTGCAGTTCCCAAAGCTGTCCGAGGTGCAGCTCAGCTCTGACAGGGGAAAGGCGAGGAGTGGACCCCAGGCCCCTAAAGCTGTCTGGGTTTTTGCCTGGTCTCAAGCTTGTGGCGGGGGGGGGGGGGGCACAGCAGCTCACCAGAGTTCCCAAAGCTGTCTGAGGTGCAGCTCAGCTCCAACGCAGGAAGGGAGGGCAACCCAGTGTTTTTAAACAAATTTTTTTCTTATAAAATGTCAACTTTTAGACCATAAAGTTTACCTCTTAAAAATAACACACTAATGAGTATATTTTTTCATTTATTTCAGATTTAATCCTTTTATGTCAGATATTTTGCTAAATTCTAGAGGGAAAAAATACCATTGAATCTGTCCTCATAGAAGTTCACTATCTAATGCTCTGCAGGTTTGTAAATAAATGAAATCCAACTTAAGTTCTATAATAAAAATAAAATTTCATAAATTACACATATTGTTTCATTGGATAAGTTTAGAAATTAACAAGAAAACAAAGGTATTGATGATACTCTTAGAAAATGTGCTGGCCATTTATAAAAGATTTCTTTGTCTTTAAAGGACAGTTAACTGTCAAAAACAATATACTGTGGAGCTTATAACAGAATTAAAACTATGACAATGTTATGATAAAAATGATTGGAAGGAGAGCATGGAGGTATAGTTAAATGGTCTTTGTGTTGTATATGAAATAGTGTACGTGTTAAAAATGCATATAAACCCTAGTATGGCCATTGAAGAAAACATGGAATTTTAGCTAGTAAATCCATAAAAGAGATAAAATGGAATACTAAAAAATACTGAATTAGCCCAAGAAAGTAAGACAAAGGAAAAAGAACAATTGCAACAAACAGAACAAATAAGATGCTAGATTATGGCTAACCCTGTAAATATTTACATTAAACATAATGGTTTATCTGCTGCAATTTAAAAGCAGTGCAAATAAGACCCAACTATATGGTTTGTATGAAAATGAAATATAAAGACACATAAGGTTAAAGTAAAGGAATTTTTACAAAAAGATACATAAGTGCTAATCATGAGAATGCTGAATTGGCTGTATTACTATCAGACAAAGAAGACTTTAAAGATATTTTATGCTGTTAGTGTAGTGGGAAAATTTTTAAAACTATAGCTTCATAATTGGGTCGTCAGACTCAGCCTTGACTACCCAGCTGCAATTCAGAGATAACAGACTCAGCTCTATCTGTCCAGCTGCACAATAGCCTACACAAATATTGTTTTGCTAATCTGCTTCAAGGGGGAAGCTAGCCCTGTCAAGGTCATACTAAATCTTGCTTGCTTGCCCAGGACCCTGACATCCCCCCCACCTTCCTGCTCCATGATAAATGGCTCCCTCTAATTAAACCTGACTCAGACACATCTGCCTCACAATGCATGACTAAATATATGTAGCCACTTATAAACTAACCTGTATATGTAACCAGTTATAGACTAACCCGTTATGGACTCTGTATTTCCTGCTTACAAAAAGTATGTAAGTTGCTGTTTTACTTTAAGCTAGTGCTGATGTTTTGGGGGAGTGATCCCACATCAGCCTGCTGGGGTTAATAAAAGTTGCCTTCCAAACTCCCTGGGTTTTACATCTGATTTTTTTACAGTTTCTGAAACATTAAGATTAATTCATCAAGATAACATAACAAACAAATGTGTATGTACCTAATAACAAGGTTTCAAAGTACATGAAGCAAAAACTGATAAACTGCAGAGAAATAGATAAAATTACAATTAGAGTCAGAATTGTCAATAAAATTTCCATAATCTTCACCAAAATATTACCAGTAAAATCCAACATAATGAAAAATGGTAATGAATATGAGTAAATGTTTATTCCATGATTTAAAATTTAAACATTTAAAAATCAATAAATCACCCAATATAAA